TTAAAAAAGTAATATGAAATAATACTTTAACTATTTTTAGGCGCTGGAGTGTCTTCATGGACAAGGAGAGATCAATGAGGCGATTCGGCCAATTGGTTTACGTATTGTGTTCCGGGAGAAGCTGTTCGCAAAACTCGAAAGTATGTATATATATAAACAATATACAATTTTTATTATTTATTGTTATTTAAACTATATATAAATCTTGCAGTTTGTGGGACGTAATCAGGAAAAGAGCGAGAAACAAACATCGCTGATTGGTATCGGTCCACCTAGAGGAGGTAGCACGCTTGGCAAGGTACATTTTAAAATTATAAAACTTTATATTTATTGTACGTTTTATGTATATTACTTAAATTTATTCGTACTTACTTAATAATGATAAAATTGCTGTTAGACTTAAATATGTTTAGTTATAAGTAATTTGTAATTATGTTATATCTATAATAATAAATAAAAAATTAATAAAATAAAAAAAGTGAATATATGAAATTTTTAATTTTTCTGAAAAATTCCTTTTTGCATCAAGAGTGGAACATTCTTGAAATCGAGAACGCCTATTCTTGAAATCAAGAACGCCCATGCTTGAATCCAAGAATTTGTCTTCTTGAAACCAAGAATACGTTCTTCTTGGTAAGAGAGAAATTATTAAACCCGAGAACGATTTACTCTTGGAACCAAGAACGCCTATTCTTGAAACCAAGAACGCCTATGCTTGAATCCAAGAATGTTTCTTCTTGAATCCAAGAAGACTCATACTGAAATCAAGAATACTTATTTTCAAAAAAGTAGTCTCAAATCAAGAACACTCGTTCTTGATTTTAGTAAAACCGTTCTTGGCTCACTTTTGAGCACGGAAATACTGAAATCAAGAACGTTGAGAACGGTTTTTTTTCTCGGTGCAGCTAATCGAATCCCAACAAGAATTCCAATGGCCACCACTACCAAATTATCATTATCCAATTAATTTAAAATCGAATAGGCAATTCTATGTATAATATGTTACATTTATTAGCTTTACCTATATATTCACATTTTCGTATACGTACACCCAGAAAAAAAAGAACGAAAAAAATCAAGAACATTTTTCTTGATTTGCGAACAATCTGTTCTCCTTTTTTTGTTCTCACATTTTGAACGTTTGTTCTCAAATCTTCCTAATTCAACACCAATATGTTTTAAAAGTGACCCCATTCGTTCAAAGCATGCCAATATTTCGGTCAAATTTTATGAACAAGCGTTCATGAACTGACAACAAACAGGCTTACGCACTTTTTGACCCCGTTTGGGCTTGATTTTTGAACGTTTCGAACGGATTTTTTTCTGGGTGTAATATCAAATTGATATATGACGTATCAAGTTGAAATTTTTTTTTGATTTCATCAAACGGATCATAATTTCGTATCGATTTTTTTTGGGTGCTTACAACTGAATTAAATGCAATTTAATTTTACAAATCTCGTCATATGTAACGTATGTTCATTAAAAAAAATTGGTTCGGTTTTTTTTTTTGGGAATTAAGTAATGTAAAGGTCTTTAAAAAAGCATTACACTTTTTTTATAGCATCCTTTTAACCTTTAACAATTGGGGAGACATTGAATCGCATAGCATTATTATTATAAATCCTTAGCTCAGCTAACTCAACTTTGACTAATTCACCACACCTTAACAGTTCCCAACGAGGATATTTTTACAAGCGAAAAATTCCCTTTCAACCAAATACCTAAAATTGAGCATACGATAAATATATTTGTTTTATTGCTGTTATAGCCAAAAAAAGGCAAAATAGTTTCAAGGCTTACGCTTTACAAATATAAATTAGTATAATTTAACAATGCCTTTATTGCTTATCCTTTTTACGGCAGAACTCAACTTAAACTTTGCAACGCACGGTGAAGAAATTCGCCAGCAGTATATTGAAATTTGATATGCACAAACTAATTGGCATTTTCGTTCATGTAAACATGAAAATATTTACTTATTAATTAAATCAGAATGTGACGCAACAATCTGTAAAAGTATTTAGCTTTAATATGAATGCAATATAAAAATGTGTTTGGTTTAATTCAATTAAAACCGCAAATGACAAAACTTTCGCATGCAACAGAATAGACAAATTTTGAAAAGGAAAATTGAAATTGAAACCTTGGCAGGCGGTAAAAAGAAGTTCCACTTAAAGCCAAGTTCAAAGTTGCAATGTCAAAAGTGCAAAGAAAACAGTATTGGAGGAAAATGAAATCGTCATTAAAAATGAATGCATGTTGTCATCTGAAGCTCAATTCTCAATACTACCACTTTCCTCTATATTGTGGTCTCCAAAAATGTTGGATTTCTAGAAATTCTAACAGAGTACACTAGTTGGACATTGATTTGAAAATCAAATCAATCAACTAGCCACAAACTGACCTTTATTTCAGACCCATCGGCTCGCAATACCAATATTCAAAGAAATGCTTAAGGAAATGGGATTTTCTATGCGTTGCAAATAGCCTTTAGGGACAATGTTTAATGAACATGCGTCTTGCCAGATTGTAGATTGCCTGGTGGAAAAGATAGATTTACTGAAGGCTTTTTTCTGCTGAATATATGGGCAAGAGAAGAATTGATAGGTGTTGACCCTTTTTTTTCACATACGGTGGGCAATAGAACCAAAAGAATTAACAGGACAAATTTGTTAAATTTTTGTTTAACATGTAAAACCAGTTATGACTTCCATCGGAAAAATCATGAAAAAGTTTTGGTTTTCGGGCCATAAGCCCTATGTAACCCATAAAGGAATTGATAAATTTACTAGACCATAGAAATTTCTTCCAAATAAATTAAATTTTTTTTCAATTACACCAGTTTACAAAATTAAATCGACTTCTTCCTAATCGAAAACAACCTTGGTTTTCCGGTACTAAATAGTAAAACTAATGTTTTTTCCCAGATTTCGTATCCTTCAATTCCCTAACAATGCATTTTAACCAACGTGTTGCCAGGGCACCCACAACGATAATTATTGCTCGGGTAGGGGGATATGGGGGATGGATCGGCAGCAAAGGGAGCCAATATGTCGGCTTGTATTTTAGACGGCAACACGCGCGAAGCGATGATGACGTCGAACCAGGGACTGCCTGGGAGCCGGAAAATTCGGGAAATTCAACCAGCTAACCAGCAGAAAGCAAGCTGGCAAATAAAAACAGCACCAAAACACAGAGTCGAACGGCAGAAGGAGCGACAAAGAGCCCGGAGCGGGTCTCGAAAGCTATGGTCAGCGGAAATGAGGAGGCGGGAAAGACATAGCCGATGGAGCCTGCAGAGGTTCAAATTCAATATGGCGGCACAGAGGAAGTGCCACAGACGCATTCGGGCACACGTGCTGTGTGGGAGGGGCGAGGGGCTGTGAGCAGTGGGCCTCTCATTGAACCAACAGCTTGTGGCGTCAATTTGCGGACATTATTGTTTCATGACTGCCAACTGCGTAACGACCAGCGAGGCCTAAGCAAAGCCGCCCGAAAACTCACCGCAATCATGGGATAACAGCTTTCCGGGCATCTCTCTGCCTCTATTGTTTTTCAATGCAGCTGCATTAAAAACAATAGCACCAGGCCACCAGGTGCTATCTAATTTTTGATTATTCGCGTGATTTGTGTGAAAAAATTAATTGCGGCCGCCGGTTTTGTTTTCTTTTGCGGTGCCATTGCTGCTGTGTGCTCCCATTTATCACTTCATTTTCCGAGTCTAAAAATTCAACGGAATTCCTATTCGATTGGGAAGTGAAATAATTACGGCATAATAAATGCTTGGTTAACGGCACATTCATTATACTAATATTAGGAATACTCGAAAAGCACACGAAATAATTTTGAATTTAATTTGGAAATTCTTTAATTTTACCTAAAATGTTATCTCTAATTTCATAAACAAATTTAATTGAATTATTTTTTGGGTCGATTTGGTGACGAAAATCTAATGGGCGACACAAAAATAAAATAAAACAAATTGTATGTTGCATGCTTTTTGAATACCGAAATACTCTCGAAAATGTCTGTGAAGGTAAAAAGCACGCATTGTTTGCACAAAAGGTCCAAATTAGAAAATTATTTAATACATCCATTTACATACATTTAATACATTATTTGATACATCCATATGTACGTAGGTGAGTGCCAAAAAGTGGGTTAGAAAAGTATTTAGGCAAAGCAAACGCTCAAAAGGATATTGATGTTCCGATAACTTGTGGTCGATGATAAGTCAGTACTTAATGTTCATGTCATGTTTTGATTTCAGGAGATTGTTTGTGTGGGATGAGGGTAATGCATGTGATGTAATACCCAGTAGGCTGCTCCAGCTCCTTTGTGGCTTTAGCTTAGTGCAGGTCATTAACGGGATACGGCTGAGTTTGTTGGACTACCGTTGCGTATTCGGTTAGTTGCAAACTCTAAATACCTTTGACTCATGCTGAGCTCCGATTTACCACTATTGCGAAAGCGCTTTAAGGTACGGATACAGCTATGCAGAAATTATCTTTAAAGTGTGAACCAGGGACCGTAAATAATCATTATTTGAGATTTTTATTTTAAAAGGCCTACTGAGGTTTTTACAAGTTTTAATCAACAATTTAACTGGTTTTTATGCACTTTATAGACATAAACAAATAACAGTTAATTTGCTTTCCAGATTTGTTGAAATGCATATACTTTGTGGACAAGAGTAAAAAGAACGTTATTTTTGACGTTTAAAACCAAATATCACAGTAGTCTTTTTAAAATAAAAATCTCAAATAATGATTATTTACGGTCCCTGGTGTGAACAGTATCGATGTTTTTACAAGGACAGTGGTCTATTCGAAGTACAAAATTAATTAACATTAATCATGTTTTGTCCGTATACGAACATAGGAACTATATCTGGAAGCCTATTTTTAATGAAGACTGAAAAAGTTTCAAATGGTATCCAAAATTGAACTTAATTATTAATATTGATTATTCCTTAAACAAAATAAAACATTTGTAAATTTTTCGGGTATTTAATAGTGTTAAATGGGTAAATATGGATTCACGTGTTAAAAACTTTGGTTTCACTGGGCGAGCTGAGTCTCGCCTTTGGACAATCCTGTCTAGGCCAATCACTTTTTCGACAACTCTTTCAAGCCACCTCCTTTTCCTCAATCTACCCACTGATTGGGGTTAATGAATATTTTGGAAACGGTGCCGCGCAGCGACTGAATTCCCTGGCTGGAGGGTACCGGCTTGGGTCGTTGGGCCACGTTGCTCATCCACCGATCGAAGGCCTGCTCCGCCTGCTGCTGGCGGTTCACCTTCTCCTGCTGTCGCCGCCGCTCGGCCATTCGCAGTTCCTGGCGTCGCTCCTCGACCATCCTAATCTTCTGCAGCTCCCACTGCTGCAGGTGGTGCTGCACAGAGGCTGGATTTTTTGGGATTGGTGTCTGGACAGGCCGGACGGGCTTGGAGGAACTGAAGTTGGTCTGTCGCGCCTTCTGGCGGCACCACTCCTGGTACTTCTCCTTGGCCATCCGCTGACGCAACGCCACTCGTTGCCGCTGCTCCTCCTTCTCGGCCTGCTCCGCTTGCATCCTGTACTGGCACTGACGTCGCTTGCCGGACAGCCAGTTCTCGTAGGCCTCGTTGGAGGATCGCTGTACCCGGATGGGATCCAGGCGGCGGGTGTAGGTGAGCGGTGGCGATCCGCCGTGGGAGCCCAGGTGGAGCGGCGGCAGGCTGAGGCTGAGTGGCATCTCTTCCCAGCTGCACATGGAGGTCGTCGAGTCCTTGTCCGTTGGCTGGTCATCCCGGGAGGAGGAGGATCTGCTACTGCCGCTGCCGCTGCTCTGACTACTGCTGCAACTGCTGCTGGGACTGTCCATGGCCAGGCAGAGCGTTTCCGACTCGGTCAGCAGGTCGAGATCATCGTGGTGCTCCGCCGGGTCGCCCGAGGATATAACCGAGCAGCAGCGCAGGGTGGAGGTCTCCGTCTCGTCCAACGAGTTGACTTCACTGGACGACACGGAGCTGCCCACGTAGCGCACCGTGCTGGGGCTTCCCATGGAGCGCAGCAGGCTGTCCTTGTCGTAGGTCTTGATGTAGGTCCTGGAGCCCTTCTTCCGTGGCAGCAGTACACTCGCCTCGTCTTCTCTGATGGGGGAGGCTGAATCCTGATGAGGCTGGATCTTCGTGATGTGGCCACAGAATACCTCACAGTCGATAAGGGTTCCTTGACCGTCGACTCGTCCGAGAAACGCCATTTCGCAGAGCTTTTTCTTTATCTGGGGGTCTTCTAGTGAGCCGAAATAGTAAAATTTACTGGTAAAATGCACCTACCTTCCTGTGAACCCAACTTTCAACTTCAATACGTCGTCTGAGACGATTTTTGTAACACCTTGAAGTCTTCAAAACCAGTCAACTCTGTAGTCAATGGAAAGTGTTTAAGTTTGTGTGTGGGAATAGCAAACAATAAACCTTTAAAGCGTTGACATAAGTCTCAAAAAATGCACTGATCGAATTAGGGTAACTTTTGATAAAAGATTCGGTGTTTCAAGTTTTAAACTACAAAGACATACGGAAATATTATGAAGATTTTTTTCGGTACCCTAGGCTAACACTGATATTGAATTTTAAATTTTTGTGAACTTTAGGATAACTTAAAAATTATTCCCTTCAGACATAGTGCACAAATCTTCTTATTTTGGTCAGTCAGTAGTAACGAGCGCACATCAATTTAATTTTCAGACATAAAATGTTGTGCCAAAAATAAAATATTTTGAAAAATAACTAATTTTTCAATTTTTTTACATCACAGATTACTTTTTTTGATTATCATGAGGGAGCACTTAGAAAGTACCCACGAACTCTCGATTTCAGAATGAAATATCAAATGGATACATATACCTGAGCTACTAATTTTAGCAAACCCTTACGACTCCTGCCCGCAAAAGGGTGGGCCCCCTAAAATTTCGGCTTTTAGATTTCATTTTTTTCTATTAATATACAATTTAGCTATTTTTTCCCATTATAATTTTACGTCTGTGCCACACCGCCCGCACTCCGCTGGCGGTCCACTAAACTCCGATCGGGCCTCGCACAACTTGATTACCGTTGCCGATGCAACTGAAGTTGCCGCGAACGGTTGTTGCTCTTACATTCTAATCGAAATTTTTATTGTTTACAGTCACGGAACTGTGCGACGATGGAGCGATGACGACAACACGGCGTCGTCTGCGGTGGTGCAGCGGTTCAGCAGGTCAGGGGGAAGTGGCGAAGTGGTGCAGTGGTGGCGGCGGGGTAATGTCAGTTATTTGACAGCACCGACAGTGCAGTACGATGGCGGGGCAGACATGCATGCGGGCCATACTGCCTAGCTGCTACAGCCCCAAACGTCTCGCCACATCGACTGTCGAGCTCAGTGGCGGATGTAGGAGAGGGGCCTAAGAATCCGAAATTATTTATTTTATTAAAACTTGCCTTTCCAATTATTGTCCCAGCTTCGGAAGCTTGAAAAGTAGAGCTTGAAAAAATATCGAAAGTTTTTTGATATTCAATTCGTGTTTTCCTTTCTAAGCATCGATGTTATCAAATCTCTAATATCGACAATATCTATAATTTTCAAGCTCTACAAAAAGTGATATTTAAAATCGATGTTATCGAATCTCTAATATCGACAATACCGATAATTTTCAAGCTCTACAAAAAGTGATATTTAAAATCGAATTGGTCGATTATGAGCTTTAGAGATCAATAAAGCGATAAGAAATGTGCTATTGCAAAAGTACGATCCTAAGAACCTAAAAAGTATACCATCACTTTAGCAGCTAGAACTCGTTGGGAATTTTAAAGTTGCCGAGGAAAATAGTTTTCGAAGGTTGACATAGTTTTTTTACGGAGTGTTACACAAAATAGTAACCAGCTGATCGCCATCTAATCAATAGCCCCCCAAAAAATAAAGGAGCCTCCGCCCCTGAGCTCTTGGCTTCCTAGTCGCGGCGTTTAAAAGCTAAGCCAAAAATGTGCCACTTAGGCGAGGGGCATAAAAATTGCCGCGCAGTGCCTCCACGCCCCTTATGCCTTTAACCACATCCAAAAACAAAAGCGGAAAAGTGGAAAAACGGCAACAGTAGAACAACCAGGAGCACCAGACGTCGTTGGCAATGCAACCGGCATTATTTTATAATTTACAAACAAGTCGCACGACCAGAGCGACGTCTGCAACAAGATTTCCCTTCATCGACAGCAGACGCAGATGGCGGTCGCTGCCCCTCGAAGTCCTCGAAACACGAAGTTCCATTAGCCGTGGATGTATTTCCCAAAACTTTCATTGATAGAAATCGAAATTGTTACCCCAAGGTAAAATTATTTGGAACGCATAATTTTGTATGAAATCTTTTTTGATTTGTAATGAAAAGGTTGAACAATGTCATTGATTATAGGTATACTGTAAATGGAAATAAATAAAACCGAAAAACTAAAATGAAAATATAGGAGTTAGCGCAGACTTTATCGACTACTACATCAATTACATTACAAAACGTTTAGCTCTTAAAATTTCCGTCCATAAAGACAGACGAATTAGGGGTATATAAACATATTTGTAAACTTTCCGATCCTATAAAGATCAAGATCCCAAGCCAAGGCGAAAAAATGTAACTGACCTGCCCCAACTATTATTTGACTATTATTTCCCTGATTGGTTTTAAAGAAGTGTTCCCTGGATGAATTAAATATCACATTATTTGACTTAAAACCATCCGGGTTCGAGACTCTATCATTCATAATGTTGCTCTCATCGTTACTTTCCTAATAAAATACCTTCTTTAAATTCCGAAGGTGCTCTCCTTAAATTAAAATTCACCACTTTGGTTGCAGATTTCGGAGCCGTCCTTTCAGCTAACTTTTCCCGCTCAGAGCTTTCACTTTCAGGCCAGTCGTGCAATTAATGGGAAAACCCCATTAATATGCTCACCCCCTTGGCAAGCCGAGACAAGAAGTCAGTCAGTGAGGCAGTGAAGTGAGCCCGAAAGGCGGCCAGAATATGACTTATTTAAGTCGGAGCCGCGTGTTAATAACTTTGCTAGGCATGCAAACTTTACCATGTGAGTGTCCTTCATATGATTTTGCTTCCTTGCCGGCTTTTCTGCGTGTGGCAGGCAGATTAAAGTGACAGACAGGGCTACGCAGGCAAAATAACAAAAGGTGGTTAAGTCCTTGTAAGTGTTTAAGTCGACAAGGGGTCGACGAGGGGCTAACCAAGGACGAGGCTCGATGCGTGTTTATAGCGCTGTGAAATGAACATTTTGCAAGGTGATTTAACAGTTATTAGATTTTTCAACCCAAAGTGGCTAGGCAGGCTTATTGCGTTTCCGCTGCTACATTCTGCCTACGATTTCCTTTGGGGATTCTCGTGTTCCTTTTTTTCCTTTTTATAATCCTGCAAAGTTTTTATTTGATTGCGACAAATATTCTCATCTCATGTCCCAACGAGGACAGAGAAAAACAAAACGTCAAAGGCATTTGGGGAAAACAATTGCAGGGCCAAAAGTTTTTGCTTACAACTTTTGAACTATGCCTGATTAAATAAAAGCCCGAGAAGAAGTTGAGCTTAGTTGTGCATGGGAAGATATTTATATTGCATAAGCAAATATGCAAAATTGTTATCTAAGAAGTGATTATTCCATCTCGGGAATTGTGGACTTTACATCTTTTACACTTTACGCCGAGAGTAAAGAACTACTTGTCTATCTTCTGGATATTAATACCCTTGCAAAGGGTAATTTAATTTTAATTACAAGTTTGACTGACCCTGTAACAGCATCGGCATTGATTTACTGGGAAATAAGGGAAAAGTTTTGTTTTGGGTCTAGATTCCACACTGTAGAAGGAAGAAAATATGTAATAAAATTTTTATGTACATTTCGCGATCATTAACTGGTTTCGAATTTTTTGCATAGAACCTAAGTTGGATTACTGCTAAATATTAATTATGCTTTATACAAACAAATTGTAATCTATTATGTATTTCTGGAAATCGAATGTTAAGAAATATAAATAAATAATATCATATGATAAATAAATAAAATAGGTTAAACTGCTAAAGAATTCAGTAATGTCCAAGGAGACCAGAATCTCTGTAAATCCCTTTGAAAAAGTTTCACACCAACATCGGACTTATTATGCAAGTCAAAATACTTGATTGAATTAAAACAAACCGCTTGGCCATACATTTAAACTTTGTTTGCCGGCTTTTAATAAATTTACCTCATTTCCAGAGAGCTGGACTGAGGGTAGATTGGCCCTGAAGTAAGCTACACAACTTTGTGGACCAACTTTGGCACATTTCTTAATTAGCTTTATGAGTTTCCACCGAAGCACCTGTCGAAATTCCCATGCGTGCGGTCAGTCAGGTGCTCGGCCTAGTCCAAAAACTTTCGTTGGCTGAGAAAATATTATGCAAAAAATTATATTAAAACTTTGCGTATGATGCTATTGTTCAACTTTATATTGTGAGAAGGAGCGGTGTGTGAGGACGACGTAGGACTACACTCTCAGTCAGATGAAGGGCGGAATGGGGACCTATCAATAGCAATGGCAACAATGGCCAATTTGTAGAAAGGTTCTTGAGGCGCATAAATTATACCTTGCCCCTAATTGGACCAGTCTTTGCATGGAAATGACGACGACAACGTCAAACGACGATGGCGAAGGCGACACTTGAAATCAAAATTCACGTGGGGAAGGGGAAAATCGCTGGAAAATGTCCGCAGCCTGTCGACATTGGGCGGAAAGCGAAAAGGCAGCAGGGCGTAACATGCGATAAAATTGAGTTGGAAACGTGTCTCAAATCTAAAATTAACAAACTGCCCGAGTCAGTCAGCGAGTCGCAGAGTCACCGAGTCATCGGGCCACCAAGTAGAGCCGTGAGTTAGCCGGATCCCTCCCATTCCCCGGCTAAATGTCCTGCGACGCAGCCCAGCCTGCATGTAAATGAGTTTTTAATGATGTCCACGTTTGCTGGCTACACTCAAATCCTCTACAGCCCTCGATTCTTCCCTCTCTTTCCCCCGCAGTCTGTCTCTTTCGAGTGTCATAGTTTGCCTAATTGCTGACATAATTTTCCCGGTTTTTTGCCTCTGCCCTTTAATAGTTTTTTCACCGTTCTCTGGCTATTGGTTTCATGTAAATGTGGGCCTGATTAGCGCCAGTCATGAATTTCAATTTGGTTCTTAATTAATTGTTGCTTTAAAACTCTTTGCGTGCAAATGGAACTTCGTAGCTTAGTCAAATGCCAGCATAAAAGTTGCGCTTAAAATTGTTTCTTTGAATTTAAAAGGAAACTTTTTAATAGTCAACCCACATAAATACCCATTTAAAAATTAAATAGTTACATGTGTCTTTTGACATGATTCTAACTTCCTAACCATATTCATTAATGGCAGATAAGATTCACTCATAAGATTCAGCAAGTTTCTTTGGAAAGACAGCTGTGCAGCTAAGCACAAAGTCATAATAAGTAGACTTCGTATTTTTCTGTGATACAAATTTTGAAAAAATCATGTAAAATTAGTTCTTTACTCTTACTATTCAATAAATGATTTACCTTTGAATACCGTGACCATTTTCCCCCTGAGCAATTTTACATACGAAAAGCCCAATCTTTCATGGCCTTTCACTAAGATAAAGCTGAGCAAAAAAGTGCCAGTCCATAGATTAACTCGAGTTTCAGTGGCAGAAAAAAGATATATTGCCACGTGTTTAGTGGTAAAAACAATGAAACCCCTGCTTTTCTTACAACCGTGCAAAGGTGGACTGCCCGCTGTGCCCATAAATAATGCAATGGAAAAAGGAGAGTCAGGTCCGTCCGACCATTGAGTGTTCGACAAAGGCAGGTGCAAAATAAAGGAAAGCTGAGGGAGGTCAGCGGATCCGTCGATGCCGAGGTTTTATGCTCAGACAATGGACCAGATATTTATCAAGCTGATGTCGTGTGATCAATAACGTGTGGGCGGCACGATAGGGAATGCTGCAGCCTCCAAAAGGGGCGAATATGAGTGATGTTTGAGCCTGAAAACAAGGGCTGTGGAGCAGCTGAAAATAAGAAAACCATTGTATATAAGGACTGATATATATATTTTACGGAGTGATAACTTAAATATTACAAAACAGTTGTGTTTTGGTCTACCGAAAACACGTTATGTGTCGAGTGGGTACTCCATGTTATTGAAGCGTACGGTAATAAATAGTTGAGATGCATTTATATAGATTGAAACGTTTCTTTTTGTCATTTTTTTAAATTAAAATAAAATTAACGGGGCCTAAGAAGACCAGTTCATCCGCGTCACAAAACATTAGAAGCGATAAACAGGCTTACAAAATTTTGACTTATAAATAAAATGGGCAGTAACAATTGAAGAGAACAAGCAACGTTGAGTGACCCAAATCTTAACAAGCAGCTGATTTTTGAACAATTTAAAAAAAACTTAAAGTTCGACAATTTGATTGTGTCTTTGACAATTAAATAAATAATAAACTATGTATAATTTATCTACGAATAAATCTTTCTTGAATTACTACAGGTTTTTTAGGTGCTCTTTAGGGTCCAAATTTTTATCTGATGGCCAATAAGCGTTCGACTTCATATGTGTTGCCTCCAGGGTTGCCTGTGGTCCCGGAGGCGGTTGCTCAATCTGGCCATTACCTTGGTCAGGTGGCTATCAAGCTGAAATGCACACTACAATAATATCAAAGCGAAAGTGCGTAAACAATGCAAACAACCTGGAAACGACTTGACTCTAAGCTCTACCCTTGACTCCCTGGCCGAGTTGCAACAGCAGCAACAACACCAACACTGGGATGATGAAAACAAACAGCAGTGCAACAACAACAACAACATTAACAACAAAAGCAGCACAAGCAACACAAACTAGTTAGTGCAAACAACATTGATGACGAATAACATGCTTCAATACCTTCCAAATTTAATCCTGCCAATGCTCGATATTCGGGACTTGCCCCTTGCCAACCAACCCTGGTTCCCCATCATTTCCCAGTATCTCGAACAAACATGCGAACGTGCATGAGTAGGCATCGACCTGGCCAAGTGCACACTGTCAAAAGAAGGCCTAAAAGTGCTTCTGAAATGGCGGAAAAAAGTGAAATTTAAATTGGCAAAAAAGATAAACATATTGGAGAGTTATATGTAAAGCAGTGATATGTATATCAATGCCTGGATTCATAAGCGGATGTGGTGGATAAATCGCACCCAAAAATGTTTCTTAATTTATTGCACATTTTCAAGATAAAATAAAGGAAAATTTAAAAAATGTCTATGAAAATTACAATAATTTAATATTAATACTTTAAACAAATCGCTTTAAAATTAATACCACGGTTAGGTGACAGGGATTTTCTCATATTTTTGTCATTACTTCAATCACAGTGCACTTCGCATGCCGTCGTGTGCCGGCTCATGTGTGTGTGAACTGGAAACCAAACCAACGTTGACCTCATCAAAAGGATTTCCAACGTCTTTTTGGTCTTTTTGTTTGCCTGGACCACCGGCTGGCCTTTGACTTTGCTGCAAGGGGAGAGCTTCGAGCAAGCCAAGCGCTGGGAAATTGTGCAAATGAACTTTAGGCCTTTGGCTTTGTTTGTTTGTATTTCGGTTTCCCACTCCCAGCTGCCCAGCTACCCAGCCTGCCCGCCTCTCTGTTTTCCACTTGATGCAGCCCAAAACATGCTTTATTTTATTTTGGAACAATATAATTTTGTAACTTTTCAGACGCACGGGATCAGACACACAACAGTCGGCCAGCCATGGAAATCTAATGAAAATGGGCAGAGCTTCTACACCATTTCCTTGGCATCATCTACACCCAAAAAAATCTTGTTAAGAAACGATTACCAATTTGATGTTATGTGGTATAAATTTTGCCAGAGCATTCAGAGAATCTCCGAGAGGGAGATTTCGGTAAAAGCGAGATGCGTATGCAATACCTCAAATTTACCATGCGAATGTCGATTTGACCGCGACGTGATTTTTTCTAAGTGTACTTCTTCAGCTTATATCCTGGCCGAAAATGTGTCTTGCACAATTGAAATCTTATTGAGTGTCCTGTCCTCTGCAGTTTTAGCTTCGATTTTTGCTTACCTCTATTGCTTTGTGTTTTTCTTGCAAATTGTTATTTGCTATCGTAAGTGCCCCTGCGGAGTCGCCCTTGCCCTTCTTTTCGTATTGGCTTACAAAATTGGTTAAACTGTGTATTGGTGCAATTGTATAGATTGACTTTTGAATTGCTTGGCGATAGTGTTTGGCCATTTTACTTAGAAGGTATATTTAAACCAATTCATATTACATTTTTTATACTTTTCCCATAAGCATGAACAACAACGACACTATATTTGAACAATTTTTGGGCGATTTGAATTACTGATGAAGTTTGCATAGACGAATGGAAACTGAATGGAGACGGCTTACTTCTGCGGCGGCTTCAGAGGACCCATCCAGGGAGCGGGGTTGACGTAGAGCTGCGAGATGGTGCCTCGCAGGGAGTCCATGCCCTGGTTGAGGGGCACCGGCTTGGGCTTCGCGTCCACGTTGCTCATCCACTTCTCCCAGGCCACCTGGGCGAGTCGCTTGCGCCGTTCCTCCTCCAGCGCCTTGGACAACATTGCGCGACGCTTCTCCTCGCGCTGCACCTGCTGCTGCCGCTGCTTCTTCAGCCACCAGTCCTCCACCACCTTTCGGATCTCGTCCTTGGACACCTTGCGACTGGGTCTGTTGGTCGCCGAAGAGCTGGAGCCAGATGAGCCCAATGAGGCAGATGTGGATAGCAAGGGGTCCTTGCGTAGCGCAAAGCTGGCCTTCATGGCCGCCGTGTGGAGGTGGGTTTCCAGTTGCAGATTCGCCGCCTGGCGAGCCTTGTCCTTCAGCCACTGGTCGTAGCACATCCGGGCCAGTTGCTTGCGCTCTTCCGCCCGCTGCTGCTTGAAGTCCTGCTCCTTCTTCAGCCGCCGCTGCCTCTCCAGGAGCTGCCTTTGCTTGGCCGAGTACCAGTTCTCATAGGCCGCCTCTGGCTCGCGGTCCACCTGGACGCGTAGGAGATCATGGTGGTTACAAGGTGAAAATGTTTGGATTAAAGCATTTGGGGTACAAATTACTCTTCAGTGGATTCTATTTATGATCAATCTAGTGTTAGTGTACACTAGGGCGGTCCACATTTGGGGTCTGCGAATTGGTTCCAAAGTTTATCACCCATACGCACTGTTGCCTTCGATCAACAAGTTTTTCTTACCTAGGTGGCATAGATATGAACAATTCAGTTGATGTTTTGCTCTCCTTTTTTCCAACTCTTTCAACGAAATTCATAATTTTACAAGACAAGAAATGGAAGAATGATTTTTTCGACCAAATTCGAACTGTTATACATGTCGTATGAGTAATTTTAAAGCAAACTTTGAAAAAAAAAATGTTTTGTTTTCACATACATTTTTTGCTTAGTTTTATATACCATGTGCATATGGAGTGAGAATAGAATTTCATTTTTTAGACCGCCCTAGGTTACACCCAAATAAAACTTGATACGAAACAATGATCGATTTGAGGTTATGTGGTATCAATTTGAATTTGATATCCGCGAATTTCGAATTAATTATTCTCGCTCCCACAAATGTAATTTAAGTCGCCAAAGAATATTGCTCTCTTTTTTTTTGAAGTCACAAAATCTCCGAAAGAGAGAAATCGGTATTGCATGGTAAAAACGATATTCGTGTAAATACCAGAAATGCACCAATCGCATATCAATTTGATCCAAAGCCTTTATAAATAGGTCTAAAAGTATAAAATACTAAAATAATGTGAAAAAATCTAAAATAATTAATGTTAAACTCCCATATTTGCGGATTTAATCCTAATTTAGTTAAGATTTAACATTTTTGTTAACTTTTCTTTTGGAAGGAGTGCTATTTAATCCCCGAAAAACTGAAAATCCTACCTTTATTCCTTCTATGTGTCTGAGGTAGTTGAGGGAGCTCTCTCGAGAGCTGAGACACAGCGAGGGCACCAAGTTGCTCTGGCTCTCCGATCGCTTGACTCCGGCGTACATGACCGACCAATTATCCGTAGATTTATTCGACGGATGGTCGCTTTCGTCCTTAAAGGAGTACGTCCGTGTGGTAGCGGTGCCTTGAAGGAGTGAATCCGTCGACGACAACGAGTTGGGAGAGTCGTTGGGCGATGAGGATCTCCTTACGCGGGTCCTGCTGGCGAAGATCTCGTCCCTGAGGACTATTTCCCCTGAGGCGCTGACGTGGCCACAAAATGCCATTGCTTTTATTTGGAGTGTGTAAGCCTGTTGAACGAAGGAGTAGTAAAGACACTATTGAACGAAATAATTTTTTGGCTTTTCAACTTTTCAACCGGGTTGTCAAGATTCCAACTTGTAACTAAAAAGCGATGCCTACGCAATTGTTCGGCTGTCAGCAGGGCTTTCAGTTATTCAGTTTCCCCATACAGGGCTCGTCAATGTGGAACCCCTGAAATGCTTGACACTGCACATAGCCGCGCAATTAAACCTGCAGCCCGACCAATTGCACTTCCATATGCACCGGAAAATTTTAATTACAATGCCGGGAACAACAACAACAGTGCCACAATAACAACAACGACGGCTGCCAACGAACTAGCGAATATAAAGAATACACGTGCCTTGGCGATGACGTCGAGGCTGACGGTGTAAACCTCAGTTGCCGACACATCAGTAAATGGCGGCGGCCCATTGACATTTCCGCTGATTACTTTATGGCCGAACACATGTACACGGACCTTCGCCGGCGCAGTGCATAACGGTCCGACGCCTGTCGCAACATGACATGACATTTCGGCGCCCAACCCACCGAAACCACCCCCCACCCACCGCCCACTCCCCTGGATTCTGGCCATCAGCTCGCGCCGGTCGTGGGTCTCATTTTTCGAAGGGTATAATTACTTTGTAATAATACTCGTATTACTTTCGACCTGCAAAAAATTTAATACCTATAAATGGTTCCATCAGGAGACCGCGTTGACATTTCGAAACTCTATAAAGAGTTCAGGAATCATGATATCGTGCAGGTACAATATAAAACTTATTTTTCGTGGGATGGCTAAACCAAAGCTTATTCATGTGACCGATTTAAAATTGATTATTTTGTATAAAAAACTGTATTTCAAAGAACCTACAAATTTTGATTCAAATTTATATTTATCGTTACAGATCTGAAATTTTCCGGGCTTATATATTTGATAGAATTTTTATAAATAGACTAAAGTGTTTTAAAGACTTATTTCCTTATTCCTGTTTCTTATTTGCTTAAAGTAAATAACACCCAAAACAAAAAACATACTACGGGATCAAATCGATATGCGCATGGTAAATAGAATATAATATTTTATAGTTGTAAATTTAACATTTCCTTGAGTGTGGTTAATTATCTCTTTTGATGTGTAATATTTTTAACTAATTGTAGGTAAGTGGAGCAGGATGCTTTAATGCATGTAGTAATTTTTGGTGGGCAAGATGCATCGTCACGAATTTAAGCCCACTCGTATGCATGCACAATTGAGCCAACTGACACATACGCAAACCAACAGGAGAATCGCCGAACACCGAACACCGAAAATCTCAAAATGTAATGACAGGCTAATTATGCGTGCAAATGGTTTATAAATATTTTATAATGCCCGTGTGACCCTGACTTCGAGTTGGGTGGGTTGGGAGATTGAATAAGGGGGGCAGTGGGATGCCCAGGAATTCAGACACATAAATACCTGAACCCGAACACCAATCCCCCTCGGCAGCGTGTGCATTTTGTGCGATTCGGCCTTTCGACCGTTTGTTTGGGAGCGGGTGGGTGCAGTTGTGTGTGTTTTGCGCATCGCTGATTGCATTGCGGTTTTACGACTTCATTATTGTTAATTATACGCCGCGATGCCAGCCTCCTCCACAACTCTGGGCCATACCGAATGTTCCGTGAGAAGGCCCATTCCTCTCCAGGCAACTGTCAAAAAAGGTAAACGAGTAAATTCAAAAATATGACATTGCGGAAACCACAAACTTAATTGGGCTTATGGCAACGGGCCGACACTGAGCCAACTAATTTTTCACCGTGTGCAGATTATAGATTGAGTGTGGAAACTAATATTCATGTGTTCGAGTGTGTGGGTAATAAATGATTTCGGTATAATGAAACTATTATTTTCATTAATTTGTTTATATACATATCTATCAGGTAGATTCTACCTACAGAGCAAAAACGCTTTAACTCTCAAAATCAATTTAAGGTACACGAAAATTAAGTTTTTTACATGTGTTTTACTTAAACTGTCATCACATAAAATTTTTTGTTCATAAGATGAATGATGGGAAGACGCTATAGTACCTTAAATATCAAAGCAGTCGCTTGAAAGGGCGGAAAATGCAATATTTGCTTAAACCTTTTTAGTGAATGGTCCGATTTAAAAATGTTGCATTATTGGTAGTATTAAACACTACAAAATGGTATCTACAAATTTACAAAATCTTTGAGGATGTGGGCGCTAGGCGGCACTGTGTTATTGTTTCTCCTTTAGATTTAGAACTGAACACGGTAATTTTATCTGCTGAAGTAAATGTATAATTAAAAACAATTAAATGTATATTTAATTTATAATAAAAATAAGCTGGCTATTAATTTGAACATGCTAATTAGATGCAACATGCAATTAGATCATTTAAAACATTTTTTGGATACTGCATGGCAATTAATAAGTTCGATGGTAAAAATCAAATTGTTAAATGAAAGCCTGTTCAAAGTTGACCGGGTATGAGAATTAGTTGTTGGAATTAGAGAAAGCTTGAGCGACACCACCCTTAAATAGCAAGGATAGCCTTGGCACATTCCCCATTTCCTCCCCCTAATATGCTGCATATCTTAGCTATCATTAAATGTCGTAAGCCCAAATGATAATGCATAAATGTTAACAAATTTCACAGCATGCCAAGCACACTTAACTGTGGGGGAGGGGAGCCCCACTCCAGAACACTCTTGCCTTTCAGCATCGAATTCATTTTACATGCATGGCAATAGACAGACAATGGCAAGATGCCCCGACACGCCCCTTAGCCTTCAGCTGCTAAGATTTGATTTGAAAATTGTAAATGCGGTCACGTATGTTATTATATCAAATATCTTTCATGGTTATGTTTATATGCTTACATTTCTTGCAGCCATCTCTCTAACTTTTTCCCTCTCGCTTTCAACAAATTGACTTTTGTATTCGCATTTTGAAATTTTCGCACATGAAGGACAGATACTCGAATAAAATTGCTTCATACATACTTTGCATCTTGTGTGCGTCGTAGGGAGGCAATGGAAAATCTAAATGTATACTGAGGCTTCGTGTTTCTTTGAGCACACTATATAATTAAATCATTTTACGACATTTTAAATCCTTTTAGGCTAATCATAACAAGAAAGCTAATTAGGACTTTGACTTAGAGGCTTATATTTTTTATATGGCAACCTGACACGTATAAATACATTAATTTTATTATCCAATTTTATATTTTTAGAATATTTTTTAAATCTTTAGAATAACGTTTATCTAATAGCAACATTTTCTTAGGATCGTTTAAATTTACTAAGAAAGAGCAATTTTCGGATTTAAATAATAAAATTAGATATTCTCAGTCAGCATGTAAACTACTTGCTCAAAAAAAACTGAGGTTATTTTAAAGTAAAATACGAGCAGTCAGAACCCGTGGAAAACCCCTAGAGAGTGCAGGGAAATGTGCCTATCATTGCTGCATGTCAATGTTGGCGAAATGTATCTTTCACGCTCAATTTATTTGTAATGATGTCGACAGCAGAGCCTCTCTGGGAAAAGCCAACGGTGGCAAGAAATGCTGTAGAAGAAGGTGGGTAAAAAAGCAAGAAAAAAAAGGAAAACGCAAGGCGGCTATGGCACATTAGTGGCGCCACGAAAAATCCCCAATCATAAAGTGAGCGCGGACTCGTGGCAACTTTTCGCGAACGCATTTTTCATGTCGGAATCGTTGGGTCTAGGGCAAATGATATCCCTCGGGGGCGTGACGGTGGGAGGGGTTGGATGAAATGGCCGCATGTGTAGCTCTAATGAAATAAACATGTTTGTTACAAATACAAATGCGAGTCAGAGGGCCTTGCTTTTTTTGGCCACGAAATTCACAGCCTTTTTATGATGTTTTGCAGTGCGTATGATTAATATTAAGTGTAGCTGCCTTGCACCTGTCCGCTTTGTAATTAATTGAATTATTTTTCTCAGGACGTGTCCTCTAGATGTGCCAGATGACGAAGAAGCAAAAAAGCACAGCCAGCCCGATGGAATTATAAATTCAAGGGGCATCAAAAATAGCGGAAATGCAATTAAAATTGTGCAAGGTTCACGGCATCCCGGAGAAGTGTTGGTCTGTGAGTGTGGCTTAGAAAAAATTACCAACAGCTACTTAGGCAGCAGCATAAAAAAGTGCAGAACTTGTTGGAAGGCTGCAGGCGAGATGAGAGCCATATTATGCTTAATTAAGCTGCTTTCTGCTCCTTGTTGCAACTTCGATGCTGGAAAAAAGGTGAAGATTAAACGAGTGCCTCTGCTTAAACTGCGGAATAGTAAGGAGTAAGTCGTGTTCAAGTGGAGCTCTTGATATTTCAAGAGAGTTCTGAATGGTGTAAAATTGCAGATGATGGACAAACCAAAAAAATGTTAAACCGCCGAAATATAACCTATACTTAATACCAAAAGTTTGTAAACAGATATAAATTATTTGATATAAATTTATAGAATAATAAATATTATAGATATATCCATTAAATCAATAGTAAAATAGCGGGATAAAGGAAATATTATTGTAGTTTCTCAGCTGAAATCACCATGTTTTCCGCCGAGTCCTTTTATTTAATTAGCTGGTAAAAAAAATACTGTTAAAACGTTGCTCTCAAATACCACTTACAGCTCAATTGAAAACAAACAAATCGGTTTGAACTATAAAAATTAATCCATTAAAAATAAAAAAGGGGCATTGTAAATGAAACCGAAGGGAGGGCAGGTACCATCCGCCCGGGTAAACGTATCCATTCAGAGCGGAATGCTAATGAGGTTAATGTTTGCATTGAACCCAAAAAATGGCGAATGCAAAGCGATGTTGGGCAAAAGCCCAACCTCGACATCAGGTCCTGGCCTTCCCATCCTTGCCACCATCTTTCCGCTGGCTGCCATCATAAGCGAATCGTGGGATTTCAAAATGTGTGTGCAGAAAAAGTCAGGCAAACAAACGGACAAATAGCAGGGGAAGACTTGAAGAGACCAACTAATCAAGGTAATGAAATCAGTTTTATTTTAGCTTATTTCCTCGTTTTTTCTTCACCACCG